GAAAATTCCTCAAAATAATAGAGGACATCTATACGAAACCAACAGCCAACATCATTCTTAATGGAGAGAGGCTGAAAACACTCCCCTTGAGAACAGGAACAAGACAAGGACACTCTTTATCCCCACTCATATTGAACACTCTGCTGGAAGTCCTAGCTAGAGCAATCGGGCAAGAAAAAGAAATAAAGGGCATCCAAATTGGTAATGAAAAAGTAAAACTGTCTCTATTTGAAGATGATATAATACTATACATAGAAAACCCAAAAGCCTCCATGAGAAAACTACTGGAACTAATAGAAAGATTCATCAGAGTAGCAGGATATAAGATATACAAAAATCAATTGGATTTTCTACACATCAACAAAGAGAATGATGAAAAGGAAATCAGGAAAGCAATACTATTTATAATAGCCCCTAAAAAATAAAATACTTAGAAATAAGTTTAACCAGGGATGTAAAAGACCTATACAAAGAAAACTACAAAACACTACTGCAAGAAACCATAAGAGATCTACATAAATGGAAAAACATACCAGGCTCATGGACAGGTAGACGTAACATTGTGAAAATGACAATTCTACCCAAAGCAATCTACAAATACAATGCAATCCCAATCCAAACACCAACAACAGTCTTTAACCAAATGGAAAAACTAAACATTAACTTTATATGGGAAGGGAAGAAGCCCCAAATAAGTAAAGCACTATTGAAAAAGAAGAATAAAGTAGGAGGACTCGCACTACCTGACTTCAGAAACTACTATACAGCTAGTAGTCAAAACAGCCTGGTACTGGTACAATAACAGATACATTGACTAATGGAACAGAACTGAGAACCACCTACAGTCACCTGATCTTTGACAAAGACCCCAAAATCCAGCAAATGGGGAAAAGACAGTCTTTTTAACAAATGGTGCTGCAAAACTGGAAGTCCATCTGCAAAAAAATGAAACAGGACCAATACCTCACACTATATGCAAAAACTAATCCAAAGTGGATCAAAAACGTAAATATAAAACCAAAAACTATAAAGATCATAGAAGAAAAAATAGGATCAATGTTAGAGACCCTAGTACGCAGTATTAACAAGATACAAACCACAACTAACAATACACAACCACCAGAAGAGAAGATAGATAACTGGGATTTTCTAAAAATTAAACACTTATGATCATCAAAAGACTTCAATACACAAAAGAGTAAAAAGGGAACCTATGGATTAGGAATAAATTTTTGACTATGACAAATCAACGAAGGTCTAATCTCTAAAATCTACAGAAAAATCCAACACCTCTACAACAAAAAGACAAATAATCCAATTAAAGAATGGGCAAAGGATATGAACAGACACTTCACCAAAGAAGCCATTCAAGTGGCTAACAGACCTATGAGGAAAAATGCTCACAATCACTAGCCATTAGAGAAATTCAAATCAAAACTACAATGAGACACCATCTCACCCCAACATTACTGGCACGAATCAGAAAAACAGAAAATAACAAATATTGGAGAAGCTGAGGGGAGATTGGAACTCTTATGCACTGCTAGTGGGAATGCAAAATGGTACAACCATTTTGGAAAACAATATGATGCTTCCTTAAAAAGCTAGAAATAGAAATGCCATATGATCCAGCAATCCCACTCCTAGGAATATATCCTAGAGAAACAAGAGCCGTCGCATAAATAGATATATGCACACCCATGTTCATTGCAGCATTGTTCACAATAGCAAAAAGATGGAAACAACCTAAGTGCTCATCAACTGATGAATGGATAAACAAACTGTGGTACATACACACAATGAAATACTAAGCAACAATAAAGAATAATGATGAATCTTCGAAACATCTCACAACATGGATGAATCTGGAGGGCATTATGATGAGTGAAATAAGTCAATCAAAAACGGACAAATATAGTATGAGGCCACTACTATAAAAACTCATGAAAAGATTAACACACAAAAAGAAATGATCTTTGATGGTTACAAGAGAGGGGTGGGGTGGGGAGGGAAAAACACTAAATAGATATGTGGTAACGTTGGTGAAGAGTAAGACAGTACACAATACCGGGGAAGCCAGCACAACTTGTTGAAGGCAAGGCCGTGGAAGCTCTATAGACACATCCAAACTCCCTGAGGAACCAAATTACTAGGCTGAGGGCTGGGGGAACCATGGTCTCGGGGAACATCTAGCTCAATTGATATAACATAGCTTATAAAAAAAATGTTCTACATTCTACTTTGGTGAGTAGCATCTGGGGTCTTAAAAGCCTGTGAGTGGCCTTCTAAGATACTCCCCTGGTCTCACACCATCTGCAGCAAAGGAGAAAGAAGAAAACCAAAGACACAAGGCAAAGATTAATCCAAAGGACTAATGGACCACAACTGTCACAGCATCCACCAGATTGAGTCTGGCACAACTAGATGGTGCCTGGCTACCACCACCAATTCATCTGACAGGGATCACAATAGAGGATCCCAGACAGAGCTGGAGAAAAATGTAGAACAAAATTCTAACTCAAAAAAAAAAAAAAAAAAGGGAGAGAGAGACCAGACTTACCGGTCTAACAGAGACTGGAAAAAGCCCAAGAGTATGGCCCTCGGACATCCTTTTAGCTCAGTACTGAAGTCATTCCTGAGGTTCACTCTTCAGCAAAAGATTAGACAGGCCCATAAAACAAAATGAGACTAAATGAGCACACCAGCCCAGAGACAAGGACAAGAAGGCAGGAGGGGACAGGAAAGCTGGTAATGGGGAAACTGAGGTTGAGAAAGGGAGAGTGTTGACATGTCGTGGGGTTGGCAACCAATGTTGTAAACCATATGTATATTAATTGTTTAACGAGAAGCTAGTTTGCTCTGTAAACCTTCATCTAAAGTACAATAAAAAAAATTAAAAGAAAAAAACATCTTGAGAGTCATTAAGTCAGTAATGTGAGGGGAGGTACAGGTAGGAGAGAGCCTGGAAGCAGGGCAGGAGATAGCCATGAGGCAACCAGAGACTACTTCCCTCTCCTTGCTGAGCTTAAAGGCCATTAAGCTAGTTGTTCAATAGTTATAAAATTAAAACGATTTCTGTTGAGCCTTGAATGTCAGTTTTGTGCCATCCATGGGTGGCCAAATTCAGGTCCAATTTTAGGGAGGCAGTGTGATGTCTGTCTTGGCCTGAAAGCCACCTCAGTTTCTTCTTCTGTAAAACAACGGAACCATGCTGGAAGACAAGCCAGACTCCAACCCTTCCCCCCAATAGATATTCAGGATTATAACGGAAAGGGTCAGGGAACTCTGGAGGCAGACTTAAAATTAAAGAGACAGAGAAGCTATGCTCCTTGTATCTAGAGGCCCAAGGAAACTGAAGATAATGATATTGTTGTGTATAGAACACATTTTGAGACATCTAATACATCTCTAATATAATAAGTATAATATATACTTATAATACGTCTATACAATGGCTCATTTGTTCATCTAATAATAATTATTGTGCATATGGCCTGTACCAGACTGTACGGGGGTCTAAGGATACATCAGACTAGACCAGTATAGCCCCTGTCTGCACAGTTCTTGAGGTCTAATAGCAGATGCAGATGAGAAAAATGGCAGACACCAGTCTGAGGGATAAAAGTACCTGTGGCTGTGGGAGCAAAGGGGAGAACACCCCAACCAGAGTGGGATGGTGAGAGGAAGTTTCTTATGAGTTAATGTGTGAGTTGAGACCTGAGGGTGAGTGGGAATATTTCAGGAGAAAGGGGGACTGTGTGGGAGAGGGCAGTGGTATTTCAGTGGGAGAATTCTTGACTTCTACCATGCAGGAGACCTAAATTAGATTCCTGTCAATGTACCTCATGGGCAGCCACTACCTATCCATCAGTGATGGCTTGTGTGTTGCTAAGATGCTGAACAGGTTTCAGCAGAACTTTCAGACTATGGTGGAATAGGAAGAAAGGTCTGAGATCTACTTCCAAAAATCAGCCAGTGAAAACTCTATGGCTCACAACAGTCTAATGGCACAGGAATGGGCAGCTTTTCCTTCCATTGTGGATGGGGTCACCATGAGTCAGGGGGAAAGGGGAAGGTGACTCCAGGGCAGCTAACAAGTGAAAGAGACTGTGTTCCAGGGAGAGACTTGTGCTAAAATCTTATGAAGATAGGAGGTCATGTACAGGACCTGGAAGGAAGTCAGTTCATATTGACTGTGGCATAGAGTGAAATGGTTGGGACAGGCAGGAAGGAGGTTGGGGAGGGAGGCAGGACCAGGTTACACAGCATTTGGAAGCACTGGTCAGGGTTCGAGCTTTATTTTGAAACGTAACTGGGTTGCACGAAAGGTTTTAATGCCGGAGAAGATCTCTGGAGCTATAAAGAACGAATTGTAGAAGAGCCAGTCTGCGTAGCAGCTAGGAGCAGAGGAGAGGGTTCAGGAAGAAAGGTTCTAGTCAGACTGAACCCCGAGGCCAGTCCCAGCTGAAGGAGAGGTGCACCAGGAAGGACGTGGCTGAGAAAAGACGAGAAACTCAGAGAGTGTGTAGCACAGAAACCAAGGGAAGAGGGTGTTATAAGCAAAAACTAGTGGACCAAATCAGGTAAGGCAGAGCTGAGAGATGGTGACGGATAAGAACTAAGTCCTACCCACTGAAGTTAACCTCTGGCAGAAGGAGGGGCAGCTGTTCCACTGTCACAGGTCAGTGAGAAGGAGGAAAGGACTGATGTAGGTAAGGGTGTGGGTCTGGTGGCAGCAAGATAAGGGGCTTCTTCTTTGAGAAATGGGTGGAAGAGGTGAGGTCATCTAACAAAGGGTCACAGGAGAGGAGGAGGGGTCAGGGTTCTGATAGGAAAGGAAAAGACAAAACGGTCAGCATGGAACACAAGAGAGAGAGCTGTAGAGTCTAGGGCCACCCAGAGGGCCTAGTGCTGGCTGGAGACTGTGAATATGCACTGGCCACTGACTGAAACTGACAATAAGAAGCAGATGAAACTGACTAATTTTTTTGTTTTCTCAGTACCCGTGTCTCAGCCTGTTCTCACCCTCCAGTCTCCTGGGGCAAGAGTTCTTGAGGGAGAAGAGATAACATTTTACTGTAAAGCCCAGAGAGGTTCTCCGCGTATTGTGTACAAGTTATATCATGAGGGTGTCTTCCTGAGGAGCAGATCTAACCCCTATGGAGGAGGAGCGTTCTTCAAACACTCTCTGACTGCAGAGCATTCTGGGAAGTACTACTGCACAGCTGAAAATGGCTTTGGCCCCCAGCAAAGTGAGGCTGTGAGCCTCTTTGTCACTGGTAAGTCCTGGGTTCCTGCAACTCACCCATCCCTCACTCAAATCCCTCTTGCAGTGACCTCTTCAGAAGTCTACATGTACTTTCCAGTCTTCTACCCTCATCAGCCTAATCCTTTTCTTGTTTCCATCTCTCAGCTAACCATCTGCTTATGGGCGTCAATCCTTTTTCAGCCCTGGCTCAGCCAGACCTCTAAGAAAGCTCCATAAACTCCCCAGCTTTTACCAAATGAATTTATTTTCTCAAAATGTCCTCTCATGCCCTGTATGCCAGGAGATATTCAGTCCCCAAGCCAGTTTTTCTTAACTAGATACATGAAAGCTTCTGATTTTACCTACTACCTGTAGTCGATTCTGACTCATAGCGACCCTATTGGACGGAGTAGAAATGCCCCATAAGGTTTCCAAGGAGCAGCTGGTGGATTTGTACTGCTGACCTTTTGGTTAGCAGCTGAGCTCTTAACCACTGTGCCACCAGGGTCCCTTTTACCCACTAACACATATTAACTTAGCTACAAGCAATTTCTCCAAAGGGTTCTCAAGCAGTAAGTGCCCTCATAGTGGGGTTGCAAAGGGCTATAAGGTGAAGGGAATGGAGGAAATGGCTCCCTGGGAACCAGCTATTCGGTTTGGAGTTTCCTTGATTCCCTGTCTTCCAACTTGTTAAAATAAGTGTCATTTTATTGTATTCTGTTTTTTAACTTTTTGTTGAAGTACAATATACATTTAGGAAAGTATAGGGTCCTAAGTGTGCAGCTCATGGTTACGCATGTAATCATCCTAAAAGTGTTATTTTAAGAGAGAAATTGCTTTGGTTTACTCTGATCTTTGCTTAGTAGGGAGTGAAAGCTCAATTTTATTCATAGAGAAGCAAAAAGGAAGGAGAGAAAAAACTTGAGTCTATTTTACTTCACAAGAAAACTGAGACCCACTCAGGTGTCCCCAGTGGATGTGGGCTTGTAAGGATATCCAGGGAGTAAGAAAGACAACATAGCCAGATTCATGGGAGAAGAACTGAAAGATCTCTGAGAATACAGTGTTTCTAAAGTAGGTTATCTTGATGCCAGTGAACTATGTCGTATGTCCACCAAGTCCTACTACTATTCCACCAACTATTTTGTTTCTCTGTCCTCCTGTCCCTGTTCCTTTTCTCCTCCTAACTGCTCTCCATTCTCCTTTCCTCAATCTCATGACTTTTGTTTACTCATAGCTTCTGCTAACCCCAACATCTACTGCCTTGGGATTCTGAGTACTGACTTCTCAGTACTTCATCTGCCTCAACTGCCAATGCTATGTGACTCACTTCCAAATCAGTGATTCTGACTAGAAACCTCCTTGGCCATGGGCAAGTCTCTCAGGTGGGCTCCAGAATTAGTATGTGTCATGGATTGAATTATGTCCCCCCAAAAATGTGTGTATCAGTCTAGCTGGGCCATGATTCCCGGTATTGTGTGATTTTCCTATATGCTGTAAATCCTGCCTCTATGATGTTAATGAGGGAGGATGGGCGGCAGTTGTGTTGGTGAGGCAGGACTCAATCTACAAGATTGGATTGTCTCCTGAGGCAGTCTCTTGAGATATAAAAGAGAGAAGTGAGCAGACAGAAGAGGGGGACCTCATACCATCAAGAAAGCCGTGTCAGGAGCAGAGTGTGTCCTTTGGACCCGGGGTCCCTGTGCAGAGAAGCTCCTAGTCTGGGGGAACAATGATGAGAAGGCTGACAGAGAGAGAAAGCCTTCCCCTGGAGCTGACACCCTGAATTTGGACTTTTAGCCTACTTTACTGTAAGGAAATAAACTTCTCTTTGTTACCATCCGCTTGTGGTTTTTCTGTTATAGTAGCACTAGATAACTAAGACAGTATGTTTTAGCATTTCCTCGGTAGGAATATTGTACAAATCAGGTTGAAAACCACTAATTTTGATATAGAAACAGAAGCTAATCACCCATGAGAATTATTGTTATAGAATAGAAAGTAGCTATTATAAACATTGTAAATGTAAAAAATATATGTAACAAAGAAAAATCAGTTGGTCAGAGGGAGGAGAGGAAGTGAAAGAACAATAATTTCCATATCATCATTATTACGTTCTTGTTGTGGTGTGCTGTCCATTTGATTCTGACTTGTACCAACCCCATGTGACAGAGTAGAGCTACCCTAGAGGGTTTCCTATCCTGTAATCTTTACGGGAGCAGATGGCCAGGTCTTTTCTTCCACAGAGTAACGGTGGGTTTGAACCGCTGACATTTGGTTAGCAGCCAAGCCCTTTGCCAGACCTCCTTATTATTATTATTATATAAACCAAACCAAACCCACTGCTGTCTAGTCGATTCTGACTCATAGCGATCCTATGAGTAGAACTGAGTAGAGTAGAACTGCCCCATAGGGTTTCCAAGGCTGTAAATCTTTCTTCTCTTTTTTTTTTTTTAACAGTCAAACTTTGTTTTCTGTGTTTCTTTGTTGTGCTTTAGGTGAAAGTTTATAGAGCAAATTAGTTTCTCATTAAACAATTAATACACATTGTTTTGTGACATCAGCTGCCATCCCCAGACATGTCAACACTCTCCCCTTCTCGACCTTGATTTCCTCATTCCATTCGTCCAGCTTTCCTGTCCCCTCCTGCCTTCTCATCCTTGCCCCTGGGCTGGTGTGCCCATTTAGTCCATATACATGGTTGAACTATGTGTTCTATGTGTGTCTAATCTTTGACTGAAGGGTGAGCCTCAGGAGTGACTTCAGTACTGAGCTAAAAGGCGTCCCGGGGCCATACTCTCAGGGTTTCTCCAGTCTCTGTCAGACCAGTAAGTCTGATCTTTTTTGTGTGAGTTTGAATTTTGTTCTACATTTTTCTCCAGCTCTGTTCAGGGCCCTCTACTGTGATCCTTGTCAGAGCAGTCAGTGGTGGTAGCCAGGCACCACCTAGTCGTGCTGGACTCAGACTGGTAGAAGCTGTAGTAGCTGTGGTCCATTAGTCCTTTGGACTAATCTTTCCCTTGTGTCTTTGGTTTTGTTCATTCTCCCTTGCTCCCAAAGGGGTAATACCAGTGGAGTATCTTAGATGGCTGCTCACAGTCTTTTAAGACCCCAGACACTACTCACCAAAGTAGGATGTAGAACATTTTCTTCATAAACTATGTTATACCAATTGAGCTAGATGTCCCCTGAGGCCATGGTCCCCAGACCTCAGCTCAGTAACTTGGTCCCTCAGAGAGTTTGGATGTGTCTATGCAAGGCTATAAATCTTTGCAGAAGCACACTGCCAGATCTTTCTGAGGAATAAAGAATTGACTTGTTACTTTTTAAAAAATAATGACATACTTCAGTATTTCCATTTGTAAATTATTTCTGAGTACTCTACAGACAGTAACTCAACATTAATTGGTTATCATTCACTAACAGCCCATGAAAAATTGACCAGTAGGCTATAAGGTCACATAAAATAAAATGAGTGAATAGGTCAGATGGAGCAACGGTAGAGGCCAAGACCAGTGAAAGAGGGCAATTAAATTAAAATAAACCACTGCATTTATAGGACCTTAATTGACCAGGGACTAGGGAAATAGGAACTCTTATATACTGTTATTGCAAGTGTAAATTGGTTCATCCTTTTTGAAGAACAATTTGGCATTATATATCATCATTTAAAATGCCCATATTCTTTATTCCAGAAATTCCACTAAGAATTTATCCTAAAAATGCGTACACAAATACACAATGATATATCTATAGGGTTGTTTAATGCAGTATTATTTGTCATTTTTTAAAAAAGCAAACTCAACTTACATTAATAGAGAATTTATTAAATGCATTATGGTAAATCCATACAAAGGAATGTTTTGTTGTTGCTAAAAATAATTGGGTAATATTCATCAAAAATCATCAATTTGTACATCAAAAAGCATTGTATTTTATTGTACATAAATTATACCTCAATAAAGTTAATTGAAAAAACAAATGGTATAGATCGCTAAGTAAGGCCATAGAAAAATGTCCATGATATGTTGCAAAGAGGAAAAAGCAGCTTGTAGATCAGTATGTATATTGTGACGGCATGCATGTGTGATTTTTATCTATTTATTTATGTGTAGATATGTGTGTGTATTTATACATTAAAAAGATCTAGAAAGTACCACCAAATAGTCAACAGAAGTGATCTCTGGAAAAGAGATGGGAGAACTTCTCATTTTTATGATGCGCAACTCTGTAGAGTTTGATTTTGATTTTTCTTTTTAATGAGGTGCTTCTATAGTTTTTTTTTAATTAAAAAAAATGATGGTTGTATTTGCTAACTCATTTTCTCTCTCAGTTCCAGTGTCTCACCCAGTCCTCACCATCAGGGCTCCCAGGACCCAGACTGCGGTGGGGGACGTGGTGGAGCTTCACTGTGAGGCTCAGAGAGGCTCTCCCCCTATCCTGTACTGCTTCTATCATGAGGATGTCACCCTAGGGAACATTTCAGTCCTCTCTAAAGGAGGAGCATCCTTCAGCCTTTCTCTGACTGAAGAGCATTCTGGGAGCTACCACTGCACAGCTGACAATGGCCTGGGGACCCAGCACAGTTATTCCGTGTCACTCAGTGTCAGAGGTAAGTTAGCCCTCCCAACCAGCAGCGCTGTCTTTCCCACCTCCCCACAGTAGCAGAACCTGGAACTACAGGGCTCCACAGGGCTATTTGCTGTGTGACATCATGGCAGGCCTGCTGCCTCCAGAGCCTCCATCTGGGAGTTCTGGATTCTACATTTTCAGGAGCTTGGACCTGCTCTTTCCTTGCTGTACCTCTCCTTGTAGCAACACTCTCCAGCCATTGTAACCTAAACTCCCCTAATGTAGGAGTGCAGCCTTTTCAAAACACTAACTATATCCTGTTCAACAATGACCAGAAAGAAAGGAAGTTACAAAGCCCAATGTGTTTCATCTAAGAGAGTTTTAGTTGTGTTTCCTCTACCTGTCAATTAATTAAAAGGCCAAGGCATTCTCTTCCTTTGCATCTCTCTCCCTCATCACTCACAGACTTCCTAAATATTGTCTGGATTTTTTCTTTCCATTTCTACCACCACTAATCTAGTCAAATCCACTATCATTTTGACCACTGTACCGTCACCTACCCGCCTATCTATCCGTTCCACTCTGACCCACTACAGTCTCTTTTTCACACTGAGGTCAGAACAGTCTTTTAAAAAGATAAATTTGGTCATCTTACACCCTTGTATAGATATATTTATTGAATCTCATTAGTCTTTAGAGAAGGATCAAAATCTTTAGCATGGCTTGTGAAGCTCTGCCTAGCTCTCTAGCCTCTCATTTCATGACACTCTTCGGACCCTGCTCTTGGAGCTGCCACCATCTTGTTTCAATAATTCAAATGTGCCCAGCTTCCTCCCAACTCAGGACCAGTGCACATACTGTTTGCCCACCTGATACACGCTTTACCTCCCTCCTCACCTGGTTAACATGAAGAAGCTTTCCCTGACTAACCTGTACTAGATCAGGTCCCAGTGTTATATATTTTATAGCTCCTTGTTCTTCGCTTTGTATCAATTTTCAGTGTATTCATTCTGTATTTGTATAATTAGTTAATTGCTCCCCGAACATCCTCTCTAGATTGTAGACTTCATGAGAGCAGAGACTTAATCTTTCTCACCATTGAAGCCCCAGCATATAATGCAATTCCTGGGTCTTACTAATTGCTTAACTTATTTTTGATGAAAAAAGGAGCAGATAAATTGATCAAAACGCATTCTCTTGTGGACCTCACTCCTGATGTGTCCAGGCTCAATTACATCCCTGGCTACATAAGCAGCAGTTCTCTTCTAGTCCTCACTTTCCTTTGAACACATTTCTCTTTTTCTCCAATTATCCTTTGACTTCTCAGATGCCTGAGTTCTAATTTAATCTTTGTTTTTAGATTCCCCAAACATGTTTGAGATTGTATGTCTAAGTACTCCAAACTATCTACAGCACTACACAAATGTCATTGTTTCCCCAGATCTGAGGAAATTATATGTGTTCTAGTGATGCTGCAAGGTCATTGAAAACAGAGAAAAGTATTTTCCTGGTGGAAATGCCTCTAATAGAAGGAATATATTTAAATAGCAGAAACTGATGGTGAAACTGTTTTTCCTCCTTCAGTTCCAGTGTCTCGCCCTGTCCTTACTCTCTGGACTCCCAGGACCCAGACTGTGGTGGGAGACTTGGTGAAGCTTCACTGTGAGGCTCAGAAAGGCTCTCCCCCGATCCTGTACTGGTTCTACCATGAGGATGTCACCCTAGGGAATATCTCAGTCCTCTCTGGAAGAGGAGCATTTTTCAATCTCTCTCTGACCACAGAACATTCTGGAAATTACTCCTGTGAGGCCAACAATAGCCTGGGGGCTCAGCTTAGTCATGTGGTGACACTTAATGTCAAAGGTAAGTTAGCCCCCTCTTCTCTCTCTAGTAGCTAAAAATGGAGCAACACGACTCCTTAGGGCTATTTGCTCGTGTAACATCCGGCATAGTTCCTGCCAATGTAACCTCCATTCGGAGGTTTGGGATCCTTCCTGTGGTTACACTTTCAGGAACTGGGACCTTTCTAGGAGTACAGCTCAAGCAGTCTTCTTGAGTGTGATCCACCTTCCCTGATTAAAAATGCAAAGACTTTTTAGAACAAGCTATATTCTGATCTGCAGTTATGATACAAAAGAGAAACCAAAGAATTCAGAGTGTAGGTTCCTCTGTCCAAAAACGGTTCAAGCCATTCCTTGCCTGGATTCTTCTCTTACTATCTCCCAACAACCCTCCACTCTTGAGCTTCTTTCAGTACCAGAGTTACAAATGTGCTTCACATTTCCACACGGAACATCCTATATTAACATGAGCTATGTGCACAGCTTTTCAGGAGGGACATCCAGTCCAAGTATCACTGTTATTACAAAGTGATCCTTAAAGCAATGGGGAAACAGGGGCCAGGGCATGGAAGGAGAGAGCAGGATGGCATGGGCTGGAAATGGCCACCCATGAATCAAATCCCTCCATTCTCCAGGCTGTCACTTGACTTCTTGCCATTAAGGTACTATCTGAAGCAAAACTTCTAGTGTACTCTGAATCTGTTTGGGAATGACCACTCTACAAGCCAAATCTCCAAATCCCTTTATAAGGAGGCCTGTGGTATAGTGAGGACCCCTGGTGGCACAGTGGTTAAGAATTACAAGGTTGGCAGTTTGAATCCACCAGCTGCTCATTGGAAACCCTATGGGGCAGTTCTATTCTGTCCTATAGGGTCACTATGGGTCAGAATCAACTCAACAGCAACGGGTTTACAGGTGGTATAGCAAGGAGTTCCTGGGTGGTGCAAATGGTTAAACACTCTACTATTAACCAAAAGCTTGGCAGTTTGAACTTACCCAGAGATGCCTAAGGAGAAAGATCTGGTAATCTGCTTCTGAAAGATCACAGCCTTGAAAACCAGATGGAGCAGTTCTACTCTGCACACATGGGGTTGCCATGAGTAGGAATTGACTCGATGGTAGCAACTAGTTTGGGTTTTTCTTTCTTTTTTGGTAGTCTAACAGAAGTTTGGTAAGGGCTGTTGAGATAAACGTTCTAGACTTGGTTCCGAAGATAACTAGCTGTATGGCCTTGGCCAAGCATCTTTCTCTATATTGACCTCAATTTACTCACTCGTAAAGTATGAAAATCAGACTAGATGAAAATCATGGACATCCCTAGCCCTAGAATTCTATGATTTTGGTGGAGAGGGAACATGGAGTACTAGGCGTCAAAGGTTTTTAGAAGGAGGAGTGTGAAAAGAGAAGCTAGGAATCACTGCTCCTGGGATACATCCCAGTGAAACAGAAGACCATGAAATGGTCCACAAACACCCTCTGAGATGCATAAAGCAAGAAAGGGACTGATTTCCTCATCCCTCTTTGTTGGGTCCTGGGTCCCAGGGTATCGTAAGGCATAGAAACAAAGTCACATGAGCAGGTTGATTTGGGAATGCAAGCCTGGGATTCAGCATCTCATCAGGTGGCCAGCGCAGCCATCTCTTTGGCGTCCACAAGATGATGATTTCAGCTTTGATATTTCTCATTTAACTAGCCCAATCTTCTTTCCCCTCCAGTAGCACCTGCCTCAGCCAGTTTTCTTCTGAGATTCACAGAGGCTCTTGCCCTTAGTAGAGGTGTATCTAAGGTATGGCAGGTAGGACGTGTGCCCTGGGCGCTGCTTGAGGGGCAGGGGGTGCCAATGAGCAGTTTCTATTGGCCATTGTAGTTCCCATCACCAGCTGTGAGAGATCATTCAGCAATTTAAAACTAATTGCCATAGGCAGGCTATTTTCTGTAGATACATGACTGCCTCTTAGATTCGATGCACAGGCATGTTCTGCTGATCAAGTGCTCCTCCCTGTATCCTTCAACACAGCCAACTGGCTCATCATACCTTCTACGTTCTATTCATAATTCTCTGTTCATCCCCATTCCATTGTCTCTATAATTCCCTGAGACAAATGCATGCCATTTCTGCCACTGCTGTTATTGCATCTAAAGGGCTTCTTGCCCAGCCTGAATGAATTGTGTCTGAGTTCTGGAACTACGACATAGGTCATGGAGATCAGGAACTGCCAAGAAAAGGGATATTTATCATTATCATCATCACCACCAACATCATTAAGACTTAGCTGAGCCCTCACCAGGTACTGGGCCTGTGCTTAGTGCTTTACATACAATATCTTATTTGATATTTAAGATAAATGGGTTAGGTTGGTACCATTTTTATCTCCAATTTACAAGAAAGGAAACTGAGGCCGAGAGAGCTGTGTAACTAGCTTACAGTCACACAACTTGCAACATTAAACCCAGGTTTGAAACATAGGCATATCCAACTCTTAATGTTAGTCTACATTATGACATTTCCTTCAGCCCTTGTGCCCACATTTTAACACACCTTTTTAATTTTTTATAATTTATCTTCGTGATTAAAAAAAAAAATCAAACGCTATAAAAGGACATTTTCTACCAGCTGCTGCACAAATTCACATCCGCACACTTCCCAGACATAACCACTGTTCACTGTTTCGTGTGTATTCTTTCAGAAATATTTTATAAACATAAAAGCACAGAATTTCTTTTACAAAGTTAGCCTCATATTACACATGTTGCTAGGCAACTTGCTGTTTTCACTTAAAAAATCATCTTGATTTTTAGTTTTAAAACATATATCTTGAATATCATATTTCATTCACTAGTCAACTAGGTTGCTTCTAGTTTTTAGCTATTATAAAAATGGTACAACAGAGTTTCTTGTACATGTATCTCTGCATATCTTATGTCAGTATTCTTAAAAGAGGTATTCCTAGAAGTACACTTGCTGAACCAAAGTTTATGTGCATTTTAAATTTGGTAAAAGCTGGTTGCCGTTGAGCTGATTCCAACTCATGGTGACCCTGTGTGTGACCAAGTAGAATTGTGCTCCGTAGGGTTTTCAGTGGCTGCTTTTTCAGAAGTAGATCACCAGGTCTTTCTTCCAAGACACCTCTGGGAGGACACGAACTTCCAACCTTTCAGTTAGCAGCTGAGGGCATTAAGCACTTGCACCTGCCAAAGTGCCATTCAAGGAAGTGTCTTGAATTTGCATTCCCATCTAGAGTAATTCGAGGTGACTGTTTCATCTACAAACTCATCACTGTTATCCATCTTTTTAAGCTTTACCAATCCGATAGATGGGGGAAGTGGTATCTTATAGTTGTTTTCATTTGTATATATTTAATTAGCAATAAAGATGGGCATCTTTTTTATATATTTCTTGGTTATGATTTTTCAGTTGTTCATGCCCTTTTCACATTTTTCTACTGGATTTTTTTTTTTTTTTTTTTTAGTGCATTGAAAGTTATTTGTAGATTAAGGTAATTAGCTTTATCTGTCATATGTGTTTCAACACATTTTTCCAAGACTGAGATCTGACTTTTGTCATTTGCGTATAATATTTTCTGTTCCTTTATCCATATATTAGAAGTAGAAACCACTAGTGACTTTTTCCCTCCTCAGTTCCAGTGTCTTCCCCAGTCCTCACCGTCAGGGCTCCTGGGGCCCAGGCTGTGGTGGGGGACGTGGTGGAGCTTCACTGTGAGGCCTGGAGAGGCTCTCCCCCGATCCTGTACCAGTTCTATCATGAGGATGTCATCCTGGGGAACAGCTCGGTCTGCTTCAGAGGAGGAGTGTCCTTCAACCTCTCTCTAACCATCGAACATTCTGGAAATTACTCCTGTGAGGCCGACAATGGCCTGGGGGCCCAACGCAGTGAGGCAGTAACACTCTCCATCAGAGGTAACTTTCTTATTTCTTATGCCCAGGCTACAGATATAGACAAATGATTTCCTCCAAGGACACTATGACAATCCCTAAGGTGATTGGCCAAGACAGTACTTCTCGAAGATAGATACACATAGTTCGTACAGTGTGATGGATCATTTTTATATGGCCTTTCTCACCATGGTCTTGTAGCTCCCACCAAATGATTAGGTACCCGTTGCCATTGAGTCAATTCTGACTCATAGAAACCCTATAGGACAAAGTAGAACTGCCCCGTAGGGTTTCCGAGGAGCGGATGGTGGATTCAAACTGCTGAACTTTTGGTTAGCAGCCCAGCTGTTAACCACTGAGCCTCCATGGCTCCAAATGATTAGGTGGAACCGTGCAAATAAAGTGTATGGAACTCTAACGAGGGGATTGGTCAGTTTTGCCATCCCACTAGGCTTAAAAAGAGAGAATCACCATCAGCATCAGCACAAGGCTGACTGCTGAGGTGAAGGTCAAACATACCTCCACCCTCCAACCTTTTTACCAATTCTGACACCAGCTGTCCCTCCCATAGCACTCTCTACTTCTCTGCTGGGTTCGATAATTCACTGAATGGCCACACAGAACTCACAGACAATACTCACAATTATGAGCTTTATTAGGGAAGTAACAAGTTACAATTCAGGATCAGGAATAACTCAGGTTGCAGTTATTCAATCAGGACAGCTTTTCTTTCAGCCATGACTGCAGACAGGCCTCTCTGTGACCTCAGCCTCTCGGCTCCTCAACCCTTTGGTCCCTTGGCCTCTTGGCCCCTGCCCTGTTCAGCAAGTGTTACAAAGCTCCTTCAGTAAGTGCCTGGAGGCACCCCACCCCACCAGTAAGCCTCAGCCCGAAGGCACTCAGCCCTCTCACTCTGTAGGTTGGCATACCCATTGTAGACACCAAGAAGCCCACTGCGCCATCTCACGCTGGTCTCTTGGTTCTGCTGCTGCCATTTCTCTGGTGTCACAGCTCGCTCTCTCTGTCTCCTGGGCCTAGGAAGTTCTCAGCACAGGGACCCCAGGTTCAAAGGACAGACTCTGCTCTCATCTCTTCTTCTTGGTGGTTGTGAGGTCTCTCCTTTCAGCCTCTGGGATGGCTCATTTTAAGCCTAGCAGGATGGCAAAACTGACTAATCCCCTCATTAGGGTCCCATACACCTTATTTACATGATCCTATACCCACAATGGTGTCATGCACATTATTTGCATTATTAGCATGCTGTCCAATCCCCTTGGTGGACCACAGTACCTTATTTGCATAGTTCCACCCAACCATTTGGTGAAAGTTGCAAGACCATGGCAAAAAAGGCTATATAAAAGTAATCCATCACACGGCAGGCCACCCCCTGGCTTTTCTAGCCATGGCTCTTTCATATTTAGAGTATAACTTCTTTCTCCCAATCATTCTACCAGTCCAAAACAGTCATTAACAATTAGTCCCTCAGAAGGGCAACGAGTCCTCAGGATGAGGTTACTCAGGTATCAGCCATTCAGATCTGCTGCAGGTGTCCATCTGATCTGGTCAGATTCTTCAAAAGTTGTCTTGGCTTCCCCCTTTCTGGTGTCTGATAAAATTTAACTGAGAGAATATTATTCCCTTGCTCTGAGCCACTCTCTTGGCATCAGCATAGCGAAACCTTTAAGGGACTTTAAGTTTGGCTACTGTACTCCAGTCCAGAAGTGCCTCCTCCTTAGTCCACTCTTTCACAGTTACAGCTTCTACAATTACAGTTTTTACAATCACAATTAACCCTGTTAACAGTCAAAATTCACAGCTGAATCATATAACCATGTCAGGATCTTCCCACACCCTCCCTTCCCCAGATCCATCAGGAAAAGAGGAAACTATTCAGTGGCTATCCTCCTTTATCCCCCTCATTTTGAGTGTCAGCGCACTCATGAAATTGTGTAAGCCAGCTACTTCATGCCTTTAGCTTCCCCTGTTTAGATAGCGAATTTCTAAATTGCCCATTCCTATCAAACCAATACTCTGAGAAGACACATGTTCCTTTATCTAAAGAATCTTCTGCAGTTGGAACTTTGAGCATGTGCATGCATAAGCAAAGTCCAGTCCAGAGCAAGCTACCAAATTGCAGCAATCTACAACAGCTCATGGTGTCAAACATTTCTTTCTTCATTTGGTTGTATTCTGGTCAGCTCATCCACGCGCCTCCCTGAATTTCTGACCAGCTAGCCCCTTCTCTCTTTCATCCCTCACCCCAGTGGGCTAGGTCAATGGGTGCCAATGGAACATGTCCAAACTCAGACCATCCCTTTATTCCTGAACTTCCCCCACTTCTACTCATTGGGTGGACCCAAGTGGTCACCACAAGCGAGCATACCAGGCTGTGTACTCGCTGCCTCCTTTTAACTTGCAGTCCTAGAAGGGGGTTCTTCTGATGGGTACCGACTTCTCCTGCCTCAATGCATCCAAACACAAACAGCTTGGTCAAAACTCGAGAAGGAAAACTAATTTTTTTTTTTCTGCAGGTCCTTCCTTCAAATGCAAATTTCCTGGCTAGAAAGATTCTATACACAGGGCTATACTCTATACACAGGGCTACTGCATTCATACCAACAGCCTGTGTTTTTTCAGGCAAATCCTAGTTCCCCTTTTAGTATATCCAACCGAATATTGGCTGAAGGAGGAATTACATGGTCTCTGTAATCTATAATACCCAATATTCATTTCCATTATACATGTAGGTCTGTTTTACCATGCTAGATAAGAGAAACATTTAATATCCATAGCACATTGAAATAAACACATAACCCTTTTTAAAACATTCCGGATTCATCTTCCCTACCTCTTGACTATCTTCTCATTCATATGCATATGGCTTCAGGCCTCTTGCTGGGTGGAACCAGTAGATCCTGACACCCTATCCATAATCTTGTTTAATCATCCTGGCTTTTGCCCCCAGCCACTCCATATGTGGCTTTTCTCCCCTCAGCTACAGCATAACATCTCTTATTTTTCCTCTCAGCCATTACAGATAACAACAACCAAAGTAACCATCTAAGAATCAAAAGTTTCACTTCGCCCCCCCATTCTTTCTCTGACAAAGTCCAATGTTTCCATGAGTCTGGAGCCATTGCAATGAATCCCACTCCTGTCACCAACTGTAAAAATGATGTGAGGGCATCATCCAATCCCCTTGTGAAGTTAGACAAAGAAGCCAGATGATGCCCCCATGCCATTTTTACAGTTGGGCATTTTCTAAATTGTTATTTTCTGAAGTGGTGGTACTTGGAGAGTGGGGTGGGGGTCAAAGGGGAGCGCTAAATATGGAGCTCACTGGCTGTCTGCCTCTTCTCTCACTGGCCACAGCCCACAGCCCACAGTGATGTTCACACTTGCCTCAGATGCAAAAATAAGCTTCCTCATAAAGACAAGGGTCATTGCTAGTGCTGCATCAGCACCTGCTTAACTAGAAGGAGACTTTCTGACCCACTACCTGGCCCAGGGACCCCTCAGAAGTCCTGGTCCCCTACATTCATCCTCTCTTCCAGGCCCAGGCATCAGCTCCAGGGGCCAGGACAATTCAAAACCACAAGCCTGTCCTCCTGGCTCATGCACAGGGTCTCCCCTCAGTGTTTACAGGAAGCAGAAGTGGCTCTGTGGCCACACAAGTCACCAGGGGGCTGCTCAGCATGATGGGCCTGGCTGCTGTGGCACTGCTGTTCTGTTACTGGCTCCTGAGAAAAGCAGGTGGGTGACTCCCCGGCCTCCCTTTGCTGGAGTCCATGCCCATCCTGCCTCTGTTCTCTTAGGCTATTGCTGACCTTGTAAACAACCTCAGGCTCTCAACAGCCTCTTCCCAGCCCCCTCACTCCCTCAGCCCCCCACCTTCCCCTCTGGGTCCCCCAAATTCCTCTTTACTAAATATAAAGTTTTCCATACTGCCCCAGTGTGTAGAAGATGACTTCATGAAGTGTAGTTTATCCAACATCAGAAACTCCAGTGTATCTCCCTCTCTGCTGTATACAACTCCCAAAGAATGATAAGAAGAAGAGAAAAAATTTGAAAAATAGGGGCAAAAATAGCAAGCAAATAGGAGTTGGTAACTTACTGAGTTTTTAAATGTATAGCGTTTTCATAGTTTATCAAGTGTATTTCCCTGCCTGCAGTTATTGGCCATTGTTCTTTACAAATTCCAGGCTAAAGGATTATGAATTGTTAATTCCCTTTTCACATTATAACTCTACCCCTCTGGAGGCCACGACCAATAGTTTTTGCCCAATCTGCCGCCTCCACTAGGCGTTATAAAGAAGGATTCAAACCTTAGTGGCCGGCAGGTTCTGGGTGAGCCTTTACAAGCTCTGCTCCTCATAAAGGGCTCCTTCTCCTGGATCCAATGCTCCTCTGCTTTCCTTTGCAGGAAGAAAATCCACCTCTGACCCCACCAGGTAAGGCATGGGCTGTACCCCTACAATTGACCTTTCCTATGTGGTTAATGAAATGCGCACCAGGTAGAAATATGGAGTTGAAGCCAGTTACTGCCAAGAATCCAGTTTCTGCTGCATGTCTCTGAGATGGGATGTGCTCACTTCATGTTGCCTCGATTTGGGATATCTCAACATGGTTCCTAGGACTTCTCACCCACTGCTCTTGCTGTATAGACTATCTTCTCATATCAAGTGTTAATTGCTTTTTATTTATTAACTCACATTTTTGTTGCTTTGGTTGTCTGATGACCACTGAATCTGTCCATGCCCTAGGATGACTTTAGTTTAATCAGACTGCAAGCTCTGGACATGGCCCAACCTAACCCAACACCTGTTGTGACAACAGCAGAGAAAATATAGCTACACAACTTGGTCACCCAGAGAGATCATTCTGCCCACACGGGGCAGGAGATGATGCCTGTGAAGAAGGGGCTGCCATCTTGGATCCCAAAGTCAGACTTTAAGAGCCACATCACAGTTCACAAATTGCCCGTGGCCAAGACCACGGTAGTAGTGTCAAAACCATCCAGGATTTCTCTAGCCCCTCTGATTACTGATTTATCTGAGACCTTACTCTATCTGAGAGTATAGGCTTTGCAGCCAGGTTCAAATTTTGGTTCTACACTTTTCTGATTGTATGGTCTTGAACAAGTCACTTCACTTCTTAGGACCTCCATTTTATCATCTATAAAGTGGGGATAGTAATAGAACTGACTTCATAATAATGTTATAAACATTAGCACAGTGCCTGCTACATACCAGGTGACCATAAAGTCTGGAAACACAGATAATATTATTTTATTATGATTTGCAATGTGATAGCCAGAGACCATTTGCTACGTATTTTTCCATGTTTGGTGGCCATCCTGTGATAAGGACTTGCTAACTGTGAGGGAGTGATCATTATACCTACTTTGTCAGGCGTCCTGGGAAACATTGGCATTTCTGTGTCTCACAGGAGTCCTTCTAACTCGGACCCCCAAGAGCCCACCTACCACAATGTACCAGCCTGGATAGAACTGCAGCCAATGTACAGCAATGGTGAGAACTGAGAGCCTCCATTTGAGCAGGGGCCCCAAGGTTGGTCCAGGAGACAGGGTAGGGGAAGGAGATGAGGAAGGGGCTATGTGGAGGCCTGGGGGGCTCTAGTCACTCCAGAGAACAAGCTGTCCTCGGGGAGCAGGAAGTAGCTCAGATAAGAGGCAAGAACCTTAGAGTCTTCTGAAACTTCAACTTCTTTTCAAGTAAATCTTAAAGGAGGAGAAGTGATTTACTCGGAAGTCCGGAGCAGCCGAAAAGAAAAGACCTGTGCAGGTAAGAGCTGAGGAAGTCTCTGTTCTGGCTGAGTCTCAGCTTTAATAGCCTGTTGGTGTGTGTCGCTCAGTCTCTACCCCCTCAGCAGGTGTAGGCCAACCAGGCACATAGCTGTCATTCACACTGGTCGCTCAAGCGCCTCAAGTTTTACCCACCTGAACTGCTTGGGATTAACCCAAGCCCACCACACAGTGCAGCTTTCTCCATTCTGCACAGATGGCCTCAGTATCACCTGGGTAACAAAATCATCCCTGTGGGCAGTCAGTTAACCTCTCAGAGCTTCCGTGTCCTCATCTGTAAAATGGGATAGTACTATTACACCTTACCTACTTGTACAACTTTACTATTGCTGCTGTAACAAATTATCACAAACTTGGCTTAAACAATATAAATTTATTATAGCTCGCCAATCAGAAGTCTAATACAGGTCTCACTGGGATTAAATCAAGGCATTGGCAGTACTGCATTCCTTCTGGAAGCTCTAGGGGAGAATCTGTTTCCTTGCTTTTTTCAGCTTCTAGAAGTCATCCATTTCACTTGTTTTGTGGCTCCCTTCCACCATCTTCAAAGCCAGCAATGTTTCATCTCTCCGATCTTTCTTCCAGTCACATCTCCCCCTGACCACAGCCAGGAAAGGTTCTCTAACTTTAAGGATTCATATAATTTAGCTGGGATCACCCAGATAATCCAGGATAATCTCCCCATAGAAAGATCCTTAAGCTTAATCACATTTACAAAGTCCCCTTTTCCATCTAAGGTAATATAATCATAGGTTCTAGGGACTAGGATGTGGACATATTTGTTGTTGTTGTTGCTAGTTGCCATTGAGTAGGCTCCAACTCATGATGACCTTATATATAACAGAACAAAATGTTGCCCGATCCTGTGGCAACTTCATGATCACTGGTATGTTTGAGTCCACTACTGCAGCTATTGTGTTAATCCATCTCACTGAGGGTTTCCCTCATTTTCGCTGACCCTCTATTTTACCAAACATGCTGTCTTTTTCTAGCAATTGGTCTCTCGCAGTGACATCTCCAAAGTAAGTGAGCCGAAGTCTCACCATCCTTGCTTCTAAGGGGCGTTCTGGTAAAGCTGCCCCATACAGTTTCCAAGGATGTAATCTTTAAGCAGCAGATTGCCACATCTTTCTCCCGCAGTATGGCTGGTGGGTTCAAACCACCGACCTTTCAGTTAGCAGCTGAGCACTTAACCGCTGTGCAACCAGGGCTCCAGTATATTCAATATTCTTCAACAACAACACTATTTGAATACATCAATTCTTCTTCTGTCTTCCTTTTTCATTGTCCAGGTTTCACCTGTATATGAAGCAATTGAAAAGACCAAGGCTTAGGTTCAGCATACTGTAGTTATCAAAGTGACATCTTTACTTTTTAGAACTTTAAAGAGGTCTTTGTAGCAGATTTGCCCAATACATCATTTGATTTCTTGACTGCTGCTTCCATGGACATTTGATTGTTGATCCAAGTAGAATAAAACTATTGACACCTTCAATTTTTTCTCCATTTATCATGATGTTGTTTATAGGTTCAGTTGTAAGGATTTTTGTTTTCTTCACCCTCTAGTGTAATCCATATTGAAGGCTGTAGTCTTTGACCTTCATCAGTAAGTGCTTCAAATTATCTTTGAGGGGTCATTACTCTGCCCACACTATCTCATAGAATTAATATGAGGATCAAATGAGAGAATGGATCTGAAACTGCTGTTATAACAGCAGAGTGTTAAGCAATGGTGATGATGAGTGCATGACGGTCTGGCTGTGTTACCGATCTTCACTCATGGTAGGTGGTCTGCCATGAGGGATCCCAGCTTGTCTTGCCCCTTCTTGAAGCAAGAAAGGGAAATGAGGTTCTTTGGGGTAGGCTCTTCCTTCCAACTCTGCTCTATAAAAGATGTTGTGATTTTAGCCATTCTGTTTCCCTTTCTGGGTTTCCAGTTTCTCTTGTATAAAGTCAAGTAAGCTGTGCTTGTGCCCTATTTTTGGTTCTATGACCTACCTCTAACACACTAAGTGGAAGACCAAGCAAAAAGCTGCAATATTCTACAAATTTGTGAAGAGACTGACTTCCACATAAAGGATGGTCGACAACAACAACAATAATAATACCTAACACTTTATGAGCATGCACTGTGTGTCAGGAACTGGGCATTTTGCACTTACCAATTCATTCACACTTATAACCCCTTTTGAGGTAAACACTCTTATTATCCCCATTTTATAGATGAAGAAACTGAGGCATCGAGAGCTTAAATGACTTGCTTGAAGTCACATAGCTAGTAAATCACAGAACAGTCTGTCTCCAGAGTCTAAGCTCTGGACCGCTACACTTCTCTGCTTCTCAGTACAATTCTAAGTAGCCTTGATGCTTATTCCAAGTCAAAAGGCAAGAGCCCTGTGTGGAGAATACCACGTTTCACCCCAGTTTTAAGATAATAGAATAATAATAATAATTTCTAACATCTATCTTGTGTTGAGTAGTTCCTCTGTGCCAGGTACAGTTCTAAGTGCTACAAATACACATACTTATAGCATGTGTATGTGTGCATGTATTTACAATTTATTTATCTATAGCACTCAGAACTGTACCACATGATAACCCACTGAAAAAAACTCATTGCCGTTGAGTCGATTCCAACTCATAGTGAACCTACGGGACAGAGAAGAACTGCGCCATAGAGCTTCCAAGGAGCAGCTGGTCGGTTCAAACGGTCGACCTTTCGGTTAGCAGCCATAGCTCTTAACCACTATGCCACCAAGGCTCTGAAAGTTGTTAGAAATTATATACATACATACACACACACTTATAAAATCTCTATAACCCTTACAATAACTCTATAGGTAGATAATATTAAACCCATCATCTAGATGAGGAAACCAAGGCAGGAGACATTGACTGCCTTGCCCAAGGCCATGCAGGTGGCAAAGCCAACCCAGGGCTCAGTCTGAGGTGGTCTGGATCTGCAGTCTGCTCTCTAAACCACCACATTGCCTCTGCCCCAGGCCATGCTGCCTCTCCATAATACATAGTATGAATCTGCAATCAAAAAACTAACAAGATAAAAAGGTAGACTTCTTTCTTTTGAAAGCCCCTAGACAACTCAGAGCAGGAAACAGAGGAGAAGGTGATGTTGAGGAAGGTTGGTCAGAGATGAGAAGATGAGTATCTTAGGGAGACAGCAGTTGCAGTACAGGGAGAGGACCAAAAGGAGTGACTAACCTCACACAAGTGAGGGAGGACCCCAAGGACACAGCTGACAGGCTGACAGCCAGATACAAGGGAAGGGTCTTGCTCTGACCTAGCCTTTCACAGCCAGATGCTTCCCTTCTTTCCACAGTGACCTCTGCACCAAGACTTCTCAAGGACCAGGTGAGCCTGATGACCCGCAGGCCCTCCCCCAGGGCCCACCATTCTCTCGCCCTCACCTATGTGCTCTCTCCCCCTAGGACTCCTCTGTCATCTACTCCCAGGTAAAGGTGTCATCAACCCCGGCATCCTCAGCTGCTCATAGATGAGTCCACACATCTCTCCAACTGCTGCCTCAGCCTCTAACCCCCAACACCATCTTTGGGGAGGAAAGGCACTGAAGTGGGAAGATTTAAACTGCCCAAGGCTCCTTCCAGCAGCCTTGGTGTTGGGTTGCCCACACTCCCAGTCTGACTAAAATTCAAAGCCTCTCTGGACTCCCACCTATTTTCCAACTCACAGCTCTGCAGTTCTTTTGTCTACTGACACATTGCTGTCAAACCAGGGCCCCACCAGGTCTCCTGGCTTTCTTAATGGACTTTGGCTTTGGTCACTATTCTCCTTCCCGCTCCCATACACACCCAGCATTCCTCATGAAGATGGCTCCTGAACTCCAACATAGGAGTCCTGCTTTCAGTGGGTGGATTTCTCAACTGCCATCAGCCGGGTGGGGCTACTGAGGTGCTCTGCCAAGTAGGACATCACAGGCCCACAGAGACACATACACTGAACTTGTTATGGGCCTCCCCATAGTTGGACTGCATTCATGCTCCCCCATCTGCTTGAAACTCTTCAGATCAACATTTAACACCAGGGTGAGATCTCTCCTGCCCATGTGCCTATATCTACCTGCCTGGGTAGGTGGCTCTCACACCCCAGGTCGCAGCTCCTGCCCATCTTGCCAGAAATAACTCAAAAAAAGTCATTGCCAGGGGGACCAGGGATGTAGATGGGAAGCATATTGGAATATAGAAGGTCTCAATTACTATTGATTGATTGAAAGAATAGATGAATGAGTGAATGAGTAAGACATTACAGGTAATTATAGGGCATTCTTAACCTCGAACTGGAATCTGATCCAGTGGCCTTCCTAGGAAATCCAAGAGGTACTCCTCTCTCCTCCATATGGAAGAAATAAACTAAGAGAAGGAGTTTGGGCAAGGAAGGCTCTGTTCAGTAATGTGGAGGTCTTCTCAGACTTGAATATATTTATGGATCACCTAGCATCTTGTTAAAATGCAGATTTTGATTCAAGAGATCTGAGTGGATCCTGAGATTCTGCATTTCTGACAAACTCTCAGGTGATGTTGATGATGCTGGTCCTCAGACCACACTGAGTAAGACGGTCTTAGTGGGTTTAGAAGATTTGGGGCAAAGAATTATTTTACCCAAAGAATTTGGTCTTTGTCCTAGCTTCCTAGGAGATAACCTCTTGGAATCTTGGAATTTCCTGAGTTACTGGAGTATTTTTGTTATTCATGGAGAGCTCCAGAACACACTTGGTAGCTAATACTAATAGGTGACTCAGGGTGTGAGTCTCAGAAGACCCACACTGTGATCAGCCTGACCTCTGGGGTGGAAGGGGAGGTGAGCTCGAGAGAGAGTTCAACCATGTGGGCAGTGAGTCAGGCAATCATGCCAACATAATATCTCTCCTTTATGCAGGTCCTGTTTTGTATCCTCCATAATAAATCATAAGTATATAATCGTAACACTTTCCTGAGTTCTTTAAATTGTTGTAGAGAATTATCAAACCTGAGAGGGTAGTGGGAACCCCCTAATTTTTAACCAGCATGTCAGAAGTACAGGTGTTCTGGGGACCCTTGAGCTTTGGTTGGTGTCTGAAGTCTTGGGTAGACTTGGCAGTCTGGAGGACTATTCCCTTTAACCTATGAGATCTGACCTAGTTCCAGGCAGTTAAGATCAGAAGAACTGCATTGCAGTTAGTGAATTGAATAGACTCGACGGCAACAGGTTTGGTATGGTTTTTGGTTGATATAGAGAGATACAAAGTAAGTATTATGATGATATTTGCAAAGACCTGCAGATAGAAAACCAAAAGGGAAGAACACATTTGGCATTTCTCAAGCTGAAAAAACTGAAGAAAAAATTCAAGCCTTGAGTTGCAATATTGAAGAATTCTACCGGGAAAATATTAAACATTGCAAGGAGCATCAAAAGAAGATGGAAGAAATACACAGAGTCACTACACCAAAAAGAATTGACTGACATTCAACCATTTCAGGGGGTAGCATATGATCAGGAACCGATGGTACTGAAGAAAGAGGTGCAAGCTTCACTGAAGACACTGGTGAAAAACAAGGCCTCAGGAATTGACTGAATGCAAATTGAGATGTTTCAACAAACAGATGCAGCTCTGGAAGTGCTCACTTATCTATGCTAAGAAATTTGGAAGACAGCTACCTAGCCAACTGACTAGAAGAGATCCATATTTATGCCTATTCCCAAGAAAGGCGATACAACCGAAAGCGGAAATTATCGAACAATATCATTAATACCACATACAAGTAACATTTTGCTAAAGATCATTCAAAAGCAGCTGCAGCAGTACTTCAACAAAGAACTGCCAGAAATTCAAGCCAGATTCAGAAGAGGACATGGAACAAAGGATATCATTGCTGATGTCAGATGGATCATGGCTTAAAGCAGAGAATACCAGAAAGATGTTTACTTGTGTTTTATTGACTATGCAAAGGTATTCTACTGTGTGGAGCATAACAAATTATGGATAACATTGAGAAGAATAGGAATTCCAGAACACTTAATTGTGCCCATGAGGAATATGTACATAGATCCAGAGGCAGTTGTTCGAACAGAACAAGGGGATACTGTGTGGTTTAAAGTCAAGAAAGGTGTGTGTCAGAGTTGCATCCTTTCACCATACTCATTCAATCTGTATGCTGGGCAAATAATCCGAGAAGCTGGACTATATGAAGAAGAATGGGGCATCAGGATTGGAGGAAGACTAATTAACAACCTGCTTTATGCAGATGACACAATCTTGCTTGCTGAAAGTGAAGAATACTTGAAGCACTTACTGATGAAGATCAAAGACTACAGCCTTCAGTATGGATTACACCTCTACATAAAGAAAGCAAAAATCCTCACAACTGGACCAATAAGCAACATCATGATAAATGGAGAAAAGATTGAAGTTGCCAAAGATTTCATTTTACTTGGATCTACAATCAACACCCATCGAAGCAGAAGTTAAGAAATCAGAAGACTCATTGCATTGGACAAATCTGCTGCAAAAGACCTCTTTAAAGTGTTGAAAAGTAAAGATGTCAGCTTGAAGGTGCGCCTGACCCAAGCCACGGTGTTTTCAATAGCCTCAATTGCACGTACAAGCTGGATGATGAATAAGGAAGGCCGAAGAAGAATTGATGCCTTTGAATTGCGGTGTTGGTGAAGCATATTGACTATACCATGGACTGCCAAAAGAATGAGCAAATCTGTCTTGGAAGAAGTACAGCCAGCATGCTGCTTAGAAGCAAGGATGGCAAGACTATGTCTCACGTACTTTGGACATGTTATCAGGAGAGATCAGTCACTGGAGAAGGACATCATACTTGGTAAAATAGAGGGTCAGCAAAAAAGAGGAAGATCCTCAAAGAGATGGCTTGACACAGTGGCTGCAACAATGGGCTCAAGTATAACCATGATTGTGAGGATGGAGCAGGACTGAGCCGTGTTTCGTTCTGTTGTACGTAGGGTCGCTATGAGTCGGAACCGACCCAACTGCACCTAACAACAACAACGTAGAGAACGAGAACATGGGCATGCATAGCCCAGCCTCTCTGTCTCCCTTTCTCATGGCCAAGGGTGGTCAACAAGAGTTTGTGTTCTCTTCTGCATTTCTGTGCCCTAATTTTTAACAGGGTCTGCCTCTACAGAGGGGTGCCTACAGTCTCAGGGATGTAATCCCAACCTCGATATCTGCTACACAAAGCTTCAACCCTTGAGAAATAAAAATAGAGGAGAAATCAGGGGACCCAAATGGACAGCAGGAGATGGAGGCTTCAGCTACAGCCAGGGCAGATGGCTTCATGCTGCAGGGGTGTTTACCAAGCACAGACCATGTGGAGTTTTTACTGTGGCTGTTTACAGCATTTTATTTGGAGCCATCAGTCTGTTTGGATCTGAGCTGACTTTTGGCTGTTGAACTTGGGAAAAGAGCTCTAAGCCTTAGGCTGTGGTGCTTTCTGGTGGGTAGCTAGAGCTGCAGCAGCTCCGTTAAAGGCTGCAGAGCTGGGAATGCACACACTCAGCGTTAAGCAGTGGTGAGCAGGGTTCTGGACTCTCTGGCTGGAGTGGCCCTAGCTACAATGCAGTGTTCCTAAAGTTGTGGATTCAGGCCATTGCTCCTGCCAGTCAGGGGTCCCAGTTCCTCCTGGTACTTGGAAGCCTAAACCCACAGCACCTCTCTCACACCCACACCATTCACCTTTCTCCTCCCACCTCCCACCTCCTGCCTCCCACCTCCCGCCTAGAGGCACCCCTTTGTGCTAAGGTACAGAAACGCAGGGAAGTTAATCTTGACAATGAGATATGGGAGGCTGTGGATACATTTTCCTCCCTTTCACCCCCTTCCCCCAAACACACTGCTCAGAATTGTAAAAGCTTTATATGGCCTTTCTGAAGACATCCTGAAGGACCAAGGCATCAACTTTTGCAAAGCTGTGGCCATCTTGGGAGCATATGCCCTTCTATGCATTCTCCTTCCTTCCTAGCCTCACTCCTGTTTCCCTGACTCCTGCTTGCCTGGAATCACACTCCCCCATAACGTGTTAGCACAGAAGCTACTGCCTCAGGCTATTTTCTAGGGCATTGGAGCTAAGACAGCAGGTCTCAAGCAAACAGCACATAAACCAGTTTCCATGAAGTCAACTCCTATTCATGGCAACTCCATGTGTGCTTGAGCAGAACTGCTCCATCAGGTTTTCAATGGCTGATATTTTCGAAGTAGATTGCCAGGCCTTTCTGCCAATTCACCTCTGGAAAGACTCAAACCTCCGGCCTTTCAGTTAGCAGCAAAAGCGTTAACTATTTGCACCACCCAAGGACTCCATAAATAGAGCATAGATAGACTTTGGCAGTCTGCAGACATTCAGGGACCAGGTGGACCCCAAACAACAGAGACTTTCTGCCACACAGTGGCCATACGGGGCCTACCAATCAGACGCCAGCCATGTGACCTCAGCAAAGGTTAGGGTCAAGGGCCTCAGTAAGAGGGAGGGGGTGGTGAGGGCCTCAGCAAAGCCCGGGGTCTTGAGAAGTTGCCCACTTCCTCTTGAACAGATGTGGCTGTGGCAAAGATTCAGCCATAAAAAAGAATCTTTTCACCAAAGGCCGTTGATATGTTAGGAGCCAGGACAATGTTTTCTGCTTTAAGTTCTATGTGTGCTACAGAGTGTCTCAAGCTTTGCAGTGTTGGGACCTTGCCTGGATGCTCAGGGCTGGGTCTGCAGACCCAAACTCAGCCGAGCCTTTCAAAAAGGAAAGCAGATGCTAGAAAGAAGACCCTGTGTTACAGCCCCGTCATGCCTTGCAGAGCACAAGGCAGACGTATCTGTCTTCACCGCAGAAATTCAACTAGCAAAATGTATAACAAGTGGAAACATTCTCTAGGAGGCAGGGGTTTTAGATCTAAAAAAATCAACCCAATCCATTTGCTGTCAAGTGGATTCTGACTCATGGAGACCCCATGTGTGTCAGAGTAGAACTGAGTTCCATAGGGGTTTCAATGGCTGTGATCTTTTGGAAGTATATCACCAAGTCTTTCTTCCAAGGTGTCTCTAGGTGGATTTGAACTGCCAGCCTTTCAGTTCTTAGCCAAGCACTTAACCATCTGTGCCACCCAGGGACTCTAGTTTTTAGGCCTAAGATATAGCAAAATAAGAGATGATAGCAGCAAGGGTCACTCAGGACTAAAGGAAACAAATCTGCTCAAAATCTATTATGGAGGCCATGTCACCACACAAATATCACACCCAATGCAGTTCTGAGAAGCTTAGAAGGGGAAATTAAAAAAAAAATTCTCAGTGGGAAAGAAAGGCACCGTCTAGGTTGCTTTTCACGCCTGCTCCCAGTATGGTAAACACACCATGGCAAAATGAACCTCTTGCTGGAAGATTTTGTCCACTTGAGCTAAAGCTATGGGTTGTAGTAGACTCCAGATAGCTGGACCAGGTTGATGTCATCCTGACAAGACTAATATTAAAAAGATCTTTTCCATCTACCCTCCATGATTTTGACACCAGTCTCTTTGGCAAAATCAAGTACTGGATTCTAGGGACATAATTTTTCTTGGGATGAATGTTTCAGGAACTTAGGATCGGCTTGTTTCTGAAGTTATTGCATCAAGGGTGAGTGTTGTCATAGCCTGATATGTCTTATTAACTTTCCAGATTCTTTTAAATAGTAAGACACGTCACCTACTAGCTAAACTTGGGATAATTTAAGCATTACAAAGAATATTTGTAGTTATAAATTATAATGCATAAATTTTAAAAGAATCCATGAGAGAATGATCTTAGAAAAAGAAGAGGGAAAAAAAAGAGGAGAAGAAGAAAGAGAGGAAAGCCCTTGTTTACAGAAGAAAACAGATAATAAATGTGGAAGGAACGCTCAAGTTAGAAAATCACTTGTCAATCCCATGGTAATAATTGATTCAGGCAAGGACCACATATGGATGTTAAAACCAGTGAGTGAGAGGTCGCTGGGGAGCAGAAGACCAGATGGGCCCAGTGCATCACTTCCGCCAGTACTTGTTATTTAAATGGGGAAACATACCTTGACCAGGAGAGAGCTGGCAAATCCAGTTTCAATCAAGTGATCAAATTTAGTATCACTAGTAACAGGGGAAACTGACCTTACATGCTCTCAGATGCAATGCAGTGGGAAGTACAATTTCACCTATGGAGTGTTCTTGCAAAAAAGCTTACCCAGAGCCTACATAAGGAGACAAATCCAGAACGTGGGACCGTCTGACCAAGACTTTTCAACATAGTGTCATGAAGGACAGACAAAGGGTTAGAGGGGACTAAGGGAGACTGAAGAGACAGGACAACTAAATATGAACCTT